ATCATATTACAGAATTAACTATGCGGTTGAACAAACAGAATGAGGTAGGACTCACTACAAGATTAAGAGTTAAAGAAACACAACTCAGCTGTATGGATACAAACAACATCCTTAGTAATTATAGCAAGTTAAATTATACGAAGCTCAGATTTAATTTAGCTTACAAAATAATTTACGAAGGAAAGAAACTAGGCTTCAGTTTTCAAGAAAGCAAAGCATATGAAATAAACTCAGAAGTATTAGGCACAAGCATATCAAGTCTGCTAAACGAAAAGGAGGCTAACAGATATAAAGAGAGCAATAATATAAATATCTTTATACTTGAACAGCTAATAACAAGTAGCGGCAATAGACTCCTAACATGGCAACAAGTAAGGTGTATTAGAGACTGCAAAGGGAGGGGTCAAAAGCCAAACTGGTTCAAGCATATAGAAGAAAGAGTTATAGATTGCAGTATAACAAGGTATCTAAAAGAAGAATACTATGCAGCAGAATTAAACCAGTATGCAATAAGCTTCAACAAGCTCAAAATATCTGCAGACAAGAGAAAAAAAGAGTGGATCATCTTCGAAAAGGGAAAAAGCTTCGAAATCAACAAGGTTATAAGGAAAGAAAAGAAGCAGTTTATAATTGAGCATTAGCGATTTGAAGAAAATGAGTGTGAAAGAAACATATTAGCTAGAAAGTATGAGGGCTGTACACATGGAAGACGTAATGACACAAGCTGCATAATAAGGCAAAAGCTAAAAACATAGCACCAAGTTTTAGAAAAAGTAGTACGTGAGGGAAATACATTATCGATTGAAATGCTTCTGTCAGTCTATATAGCAGAAAAGAAGCTCTAGCACGAGAAAAATGAGGAACAGAAAAGAGAAGTAGAAATAAGAGTAGCTAGTATAGAAGAAGCAGTAATTCAAAGAGTAATTAGCGATAAAGGGTTACAAAGCAAGCTAACTGAGATTGCAGAGAAGTTAAGAGGGAAGAAAGAGTTAGACATATATACAGATGGGTCATTAGCGACAAAGCATGAAGGAGATAGAGAAGGGAAAAAGATGGGTATAGGTTGGGTTATAGCAGATGAGAATAGCATTACAAATAGCATTAGTTTTAATAGTAGAATTGCGAACTGGTCCTCCTCAACTCAAGCAGAACTAGGTACGATTTGGACAGCCTTGCTAGTAGTTCCTGCTAGTGCAAAAGTGAGATTATATTCAGATAGTAGTGCAGCGATAGAAGGAATACAAGAGTTCCAAAGTCAAATGAGTATTAGAAGCATGTTTAAAACCAAGAATTGCAGTCTAATTAATCAGATAATAGATTGTTGTAGAACTAAAAATATCGAGCTAGAGCTAATTAAAGTCAAAGGCCATAGCATGAACTACTGGAATGACAAAGCTAATATGTTAGCAAAAGAAGGTCTCTCATCTAGCCTAATACTAGAAGTACAAGACACTACAACAGGCAGTATAAGAGTAGCACCAACTTGGAATAACAAGCTGATTAATAGCCTACTGAGATCTTTCGTTAATATAATTACAACAACATCATACAAATATGAATGAGCAGACCTAAAAAACATTAAACTAATACTGAGTCAAAGATCAAGCGGGCAAGGCAAGGAAGAGCTAAACTGGAGAAACACATGGAGTATGCTAAAGAAGCTTCAGGAAAAAAAATGTATGAGCATCAAAAAAAGCAAAGCTCTGATTTTCAGAATAAAGTGCCTTAACAAGTTATTACCAACTAAAGACTTATACTTCCAAAGAAACCCAAATTTATATAAGAGCAAAACTTGTATAGCATGTCTTGCAAAAGAAGAATTGTTAGAACACATTGCAGAATGCTAACTATATCAAGGAATTTGAAGAAAGATCGAAAGGTTGATCATAGTAGAGCTGTGTATAAAAATCGATGATAGATAGAACATGGATATCTCAGAACAAACTCTAAAAGAAGTGTTCTTAGGACGGGACGTAGCTAAGATACTTAGCAGGAGAAAGCTACATATTTGAGATATAACAAGTAACCAGCTCACAACAAGTGTCAAAGAGATATTGAGATCTGCCTCCAAAATTAACAAGACAATAAGTTGGTTCTCTGAACTATTCTGGTATATTTTCTTCAAAAAATTATAGAAATTGCAATGTGAAATTATGCTAGAATGGGAAGAGAGGAATAATATCAAGTTTAAAGAAAAACAGAAAAAAGTAAAGCGAAAGCATAATAAACTCAGAAAAGAAAACACATCAAATAAAGAAAACCAGAATTCAAGCAGAAACAACTATGAAGAATCAAGTAAAGGCAAGGAGGAGAGAATTCAAAACCTAGCTAAAGCTAAAGTGAAGATATGGATTGAAAAAGGCTTAAAAGAAAGCTAGTTAAGTTTTAAAAATAACTAAGAGTTCTTGAATAGGTGCAGAAGAGCCTTCTATGGATCACTAGAGCATGAATTTGCTTAGGCAAACTGCTCTAGTAGAAGGAAAATCACTTTTGCAGCTGATCACACTTGGGCACCTAGGGTAGCTGAGTGAGTCTGAAATTGGAAAAAGAGGGCAGTTATATAGCTAATATAGATTAGTTTTATTTTTGTTATAATATCATATATGTTTTCTCTTAATAAATGAAGGGCAAGATCGCCTAAGTTAAAAAAAAAAAAGATACTGATAAAGAAGAATCTACTTCAGCTCTTAGTTCTGAAATAGTTAGTAGTAATGAACAACAAAAAATATCTAGTTGATTTTTTAATCCTGTTTGGGATTATTTTAATCAAATAAAAAAAAAAAAAAGGTAGATATTATTTAGCAAGTTGCAAGTACTATAAAAAAAAGTAGCTACATGAAGATATATCAACTTTTAAAATGCATATCATATATGATTGTCCTAGTACTCCATTAGAGACACAACTTTTTTATTTCAAGTAATTTATTGATGATGAAAGTCAAAAACTGAATAAAAAATGAAAAGTAGATTCAAGAAATAAAGAAGATATTCTTAAATATGTAGAAAATCAAGAACTACCTTTAAAAAGACAGGAGCAACTATAAAATGACATGTGCCTTGCATTTATTTGTGTAGGAATTTTATTTAATATTGCCAGAAATGAAATTTTTCGTACATAGCTTCAAAATCTTAGGCCAGATTTTCAAATACCAAGTTCTAAAATACTCTCAGGAAGAATTTTTAATAAGCAAGTTATTCAGGTAAAAACAAAAGTAGGAAATGAATTATGAACTAAAAATCATATTACACTCAGTAAATATTGAAGTTTATTATTCAATGTCACAGATCATACCGAAATTTATCTTTTTTGAAAATATAAATGCTATTAAAATTTACTGTAATCTAAAATAAAATAAAATAAGGCAGAAATAAGTATACGCGTAAATCTCAAGGTATTGAATGCAAAATTTAAATCATCGTACAGTAGTTTGTTTTGATTGACTGTCACGTCATATCTGATCTTGTTTATTGACTATCACGTTATACCCGATCTTAGTATTGTTCAAAAAATTATATAAAAAAATAATTTTGCGGGTGTACTACCAAAAATATCCTTTTTCACCTCCTTAACCTCCTTTACTTCTTTTACCTCTTTTTTTTACCTTTTTCTTTTAATACAATATGGAGTAGAAGTAAGTATAATTAATAATCATGATGGTTTAGCTTTTGAGAGAAGAAACGTGAATCGGCAGGATGCGTTGAAACAAATGCTACGGAGACTCGGGAATAGTAAACTGACAACGTAGCCCCAGTCTAAATATCACTCCCTCCCTACCCTTTTAAATCTTACATTCGCTATCTATCTTTTTATCTGATTATGTTTATTGTGAAACATTTTTTTCATTAATTTTACTTTTTTTATACAATATTATAGTTAGCGATTTACTATAGAGAAAACTTATTTGTCGATATACTTTCAAACGAAGAAATGCCGAAAACGTTCGTTACGCAACGTTCAATTCGTTTTTTTTTTTTTTTTTTTTTTTTTTTTTTTTTTTTTGGTTTGTAATGCAACGAAGTATCTACGTTCATTTGAGTTTTTTTTTTTTTATAGGTATGACACGTACGACGTTTCGTTACGTTTGTTTAGTTCGTTTTTACGTTTTTGTTATGTTTTTTTGAGTTGGTAAGTTCGTTACGCGTTGACATTTTAATACGTTCGTTAGGCTTTTTTTTTTTCTGGTTTAACGTATCGGTATTATAAATCAAAACAAATAATTTAAATTTTAAATTTAACAGGTTATAGAAATATGGACTTTGAAGCATTGACGAAGTCTTAGGATTGAAAACGATAATAATTAGCTTTAAAAAAGCTATACAATAAATCTCAAATACCAATACTGTATTAATTAATAAATATAAAAAAACAATTCTTAATAATTTTTTTATAGTTTCTTGTTTTATTACATGTATATAAAGTTTATCAGTTTATATTTTGATAGTTTTTCTATCGCGTGGCTAGTTTATATTTTATCAAGTTTGGTCTAGTGTTATGAATCGGGCAAAAAATCGTAATCGATTAGTTAGTCGTTAATTTTTTAATAGTTGATTACGTTTAACTAATCAACTAATCGATTAGTTATCAAAGCGAAATCGGAGTTGGAGCATACGATAATGGGTTTAAATCTCAAGGTTCTTATTATTATCAAAAGAGACTTTAAAATAGGTAGGTAAACTGGAGCTTAAATTTTAAGCAGGTACAAGATCTAGGTATATAGACAACTAATCGATTAGCAAACTAATCGAATAATCGATTAATTGAGTTAATCAATTAATCGATTAGTTGGAAATTGATTAATCGATTAAAATCGTGTTTGTAATAGTCAATCGATTAGTTGCCAACTCGATCAACTAATCGATTTTCGATTCATATCACTAAATTTGGTCACGAGTATTTTCGGCATCAATATTACCAAGGGTTGGAATAAATTTTGATTTTCGATAATATTTTTTATATACAAAATATCCACCTATGGCAATACCAATATATATTCCAATATTAGGGTAGTTTGAACCGGAATAGGAGAACTTGTTGCTGTAGGTGTATTAGCAACACTAGCTGAGGCTGATGGAGCTGGAGATACAGCTGGGGCAGCGGGTGCAGACGCACCAGCAGCAGTAAAAACTGCGAAAGTTCCAGAGAGCTTATTACCAGATCCATAATTGAGACCAATATAATACGTATGTACCCGCAGAAACATTGAGCGTCCATTGGTAAGATTGAGCAAATTATGGTTGCGCTTTGAGTTGTGCTATCGATAACACTTAAGGTGCCTATGACCGCATTAGTTTGTGGGGTATATACTTAAATTAGCCAAAATAATCAATGTTAAAAAGATAACATCTTAAATGGCATGCAAAAATAAATGCAAATTATCAACTTACGGGCTGAAATAAACTCAATAAAAACTAATAGTATTGTGAGAAATAAATAAATTGTAATATACCCAATTTTTCGTTCTTGTGAAAAATAACGAGAATGTAGTAGACTTTTCATTTATGGATAGAAGATAATGAATATGAATAACTATTGTGACCGTAATTGTTAGTTTTTTAGTGCATTTATATTTTTTTATTGTTTGACCAATTATTTATTTAACATTCTAACATTCTAAATTGTAAATTTTTACAAACATTAAAAAGAAGCAAAAGAATCATAATCTAGATGCTTTTTTTAGAAAATATGATTTCTATTATACTGTCAGATCTCCCTAAATGTAATACCCGGAATAGTTAAAATTTGTATTTTCTAATTGGTTATTTCCTTGTATTATTACTCGCGAAAATTAATTCTGGCTAAGAAATGATTTATTGATATACCTGATCAGAATACCTACACCTGTAAATTTTTTCAACGCCAAATCTCTACCCTGACCCAAATTGTCTTAATTTTGGCATCGTAACACAACAGCAAAAAATTGTATCATTTTATTATACGCTTTGCAAAAAGGCGTGACCCAGTGGAAAACAGATTTTAAATTTCCTATCAAACGTATATCGATATCATTATTAAAATAAAGTAAATTTTCGATCACAGGATCATAATGATATAATTTTTACTAACGTTAAAATTATAAATTAAATATATTAATTAAAAATTGTATAATTTATTTTATTGTCAAATAACTGACTCTGAGGGGGCTATAATGAGCTCTTTTCTGAAAGCTTCCTTAGACCGATGTAAGTTGTCCATATATTGGAGTGTAAGACTATACTATTTACAAACATAAGTACAGCACTATATGATTGGCGCACTAGTAAGATTTTTGAAATTTTGTAGAACAATTTACTTGAATAGAAATTTATTATTAACTTCTGTTCTAATGAAGCAAATTCAATTCTGTAATTTATAAATGATATATTGAGAGTATGGTTTTAAAACTATGTGGAGACATTTTCTAATTTATTTTATTAATTTAACTAAAATTATAAATTAATAAAATTTTAATAGTAAAATGTTCATTATTTATATAGAGACCTACTAAAATTAGCCACATAGTTTTAAAACCATACTCTCAATATATCATTTACAAGTTAATTTGCTTCATTAGAACAGAAGTTAGAGCGTTTTAAAAATACACCGATTTTTTTATAATAAATTACTATTTCTATTGATCGCTGTTAATTTTTTTCAACGTAAATTGATCTACAAAATTTCAATAATCTTACTTAGTGCACCGATCATATAGTGCCGCACTATGTTTGTAAATCATATAGAGTCTTACACCCCATCCGTATATCCATACTATTTATCTGCGTAATTAAAGCCCAGTCAATTTGTATAGGTAAATTGAATACACAAAAACTAATTATGACGGTATCATAATACATTTTGTTGCATCATTTCTGATAATACAATTTATTTTCGAATGATTTATATTAAATGTTACACGCAGTGACACGTATAGTTAGTTAATCATTATATAGGATTAATCATTGTACAGTTAAAAAAACCTTCCTCCGTCATCAGCATCGAAATTGTCAAATCCACCACCTCCCGCGAAAAACTCTTGGTCATCCATATGACTACCACCAGGCATTACACCTCCAGATGCAATATTTTTACTCTGCATGACGAAAATAGTTAGCGTGGCATAAGAGAACAATGCTATAAACTAAAAAAAAAAAGTCTTACTTTAACAAGATATTCTCTACTACAACCAATAAGCCGGTCAGTTTGGATGACACGATCACTGACTTGGGTAGCTTTAGCTATCTGTTCCTCAAGCTTGGAGATTGTATTTGACGTATTATACATATCAGGATCGTCGTGGAAAGATACCATCCCAGCTTGATCAGAATGGCTAATAGTAGCAAATATTTCGCGAGATTCGATCTACCAAATCGTGTTCATGACAGTTGATTAACAGTCTGTGTGATGAAACATATACATGCGGATCAAAACATGAATATACCATCTGGAGAATGTAACGTTCAGCAACTTTAGGAGCCTCCCGACCTTCCAGGCCAATGGCATCAGCGATATCGACCAAAGATAAAGTCAAATAAGTTTGTGTTAATTGTTGAATTTTGCGCCGATAGATCGCATCAAGAGTTTGTTTTACTAAACCAAAGTTTCCGTCCTATTTATAAAAACTTGATTATTTAAGTAAGCTTTTTATTACAACAAATATATCAACCAACGTTACCTTTCTAAAAGTTTCGCTACATTTGTTAAACTCATTCCTAAGACGTTTAACATTCAGGCTCTCAAATGCGGAGGCATAGTCTTGATAGGCTTGACACTGATTTTTGATCGAACGGAAAACTGCAGTTGCAGTATATTTTGGAAGTGGGATAATCTATAGCCAATAATTGACAAGCTGATTTGATATGAAATCAAAAGAATTCTAACTGCCAAAGTCAGAATAATAGTAAAAAATGAACAAACCTTGCCGTGCAACAGCAATGAAACTAAACTAAACTTTTTATATGCCTCAGCTTGTACTTGACTAGTTACAACAGCCGGTGCAGATATGACCTTTAAAAAAACAAATTACTATAAAACTAATCAATAAGAATATTGAAGGCTTCAATATCTTACCAATACAAGGAAGTTAAGGGCACGCGTATAATTCTTTAATCCAATGTATACCATTGCGCCATAATAATGGTACAATAGATGATCTATGTACGAGATGCCCGTTCCCTGTGAAGGATCATTACAAAGTTAATTTTAATTTCAAACGCTGTATATCCATAAATTATGGCTTTTTAGTCACCGAGGTTTCAATTTCAGTTATATCATTATCCAATATTTGAAGTGCTTGTCTATAGCATTTGGTCAATAAACATTCCTTTAGATAAAAAAATATATTAAGGTAAGTATTAAAATAAAAAAATAAAATAAAAAAGCCTTAGAAAAAGAAGTATAACCTTAATAAAAAATTGGTGTAAATTTGTCAAATGATTTGGAGATGGTGAATATTTTTGAAGAGCATGCGTAAGTGGTTTGATGGAAATTATATTCTAAAATTTGAGTCTGTCAGATATCTGATTTTTCATAAGTTTAAATCAGAATAATAATAAATCGAAGCTGGGAGACGACAGCTCACATTTCCATATAAATTTGCTATCCTGCATAATCCTTGAGCAACTTGTAGAACTATTAATTCGGAATAAAAAAGATGTCTATTTTGATCAGATTATTAAGAGCTTAATTCTTATGATTATTCTTTACACACATTTTTCGGGTACCAGTCGAATATGAATCGGATCGAAGCTTCGCAAGAACTCAAGAATATGAGTTAATAAATTAGCCACATCAGGTCTTTCTACATTACAACGTGCGGTGCTATATATAAAATTTTGTTAGCATACATTTGCCAAATAACGTAATATAAAGAAATTCGCAGCGTACAGAAAGTATACATAAGGCACAGTATAAAGGCAAGGATCAAGAAGTTCGAGAGGATCTCTATTGTCTGCTGCATTTTGCAAGAAAAATGGTTGTGGAAGTTGTCTGAGAATAGGAAAAATATGCTTTACAATAAAATCTGCGCGATCATCGCTATGACTTAAAAGAGCAGCGATAAGTTCATCAACAGTTCCCACTTGTTGGATAGGCATTGTAAGTTCCAAGAAAGAAGGTGAAGAGATGTAAGAGAACCTTTAACCAATCGAATTTTCTGGTCAGTTTTGTCCGGATCGCATTTTGATGTCTATGGTTCGGATATGAGAAATGATTTTCTGAACTCGTCGTCCCCAAAATTCTGATCGGAAGACATCGTTTGGCCGGAAGTAACATGATTTTGCTAAAATCATACTACAAGGGTAGAATCGCCACCCAAAAAAATTTCTAAGGTCACGTGATGTTGATCATTAATCGTAATTGTTTCATATCGTAATTGTTTTATATTGTCATTACATACAATCTAGCGGACATTTAATCTTGTATTTAGTATATATATTTATTTTGATTAGAGTTATGTTAATCTTCTTTTTTCTTTTTTTGAGATAATGAAGTGTGATCGTTGTAAGCTTGACAAATCAAACGAAACTTTTGAAAGTCTAAAAACCAATAAACGTAAAAATGCTAATACATATACTAAGCTAAAAACATGTGTAGATTGTCGTAACCAAATTTCTGCAAATAATAAATTAAAAAAGCGTGAACAAAAAAATAAATCCATAAAAGAAAATCAAGAAAATGCAATAGCACCAGAAGATCTTGTGGATTTTATTTTTAATACCCTTCCAGCAAATTATGATTATGATGAGTACCTATTTGAAGAAAGATTTCTTATAATCTTAGAATCACTATTAAACAATGTTGATACAAATTCAGACGATCAAGTAAATAAGGAAGTTGCGCAATATATAGTTAACCTTATTTCAAAAGCGGATAGATTTTCCTGGATTTATCATAAATGTAGTAAATTAAAAGACTCAGTTTCATTTGTTTATTATTGCAACTGCCATGAAGAATTAAAAAATAAAAAGGCTCGAGTTGCTAATATTTCAAGTCAACATGATACAATATCAAGAATTGTTTGATATGATTGTGGTAGTACAATTTAAATTAATATAGATCAAATTCACAATTTGGTGGCAATTAGTATTTATCATTATCTTCATCTACTACCTGAAGCAATAGAAGTTTCCTCACAAATTCATGATTTTATTATTAATCATAACCTATTGATAGTATTATAGCTTTATAATAATATTAAAGATGAAAAAATCTATGGATTTTTACATATTACTCAACAACAAGTTTACTATTAGGCTAAAAAATTTGCTACCAAGGAATATAAATTAGCAAATGATCAATTGGAATCAGCTCGACGATATTTAGAGAATAATTTAAATTTTAAACTTCTTTATCAAGATCAACATTCATTGGCTTTTATAACTCCATTGCTATTTATATTACCAAGTAAAGCAACAAAAACTATTATTGTTGATTCTACTTATAGGACAAATTGCTTAAAGTTTGAATTATTTGCAGTTCTTAAAGTTATAGATAGTGCTGAGTTCCTGCTTTCTTATTTTTTTCTTGAACCAAAGTATTTATATGGTAAAACACAAGCAATTACAACATGGTTTAAAAGTTTAAAAGAAAATGGAATTCAAAATACTGAAACTATTTTGACAGATAAAGATTGTGAACAAATTATAGCTGCTAATAAAATTTGAACTAAGGCAAAAATTCAATTATATTATTAGCATGTAATACATGCAATTAAAAAGAAACTTTCAAGTACTGGTATTGTGTATAATTATTATAATTCATATAAGGATATTTGCTTTGTCTAACAATTAACTCTGCATAGCTACTAGCTAATCAAAACCAAGTGAATTAAGAACATCTACATGATAATGATAATAAAAAACAAGTTTTTTGCCAAAAAAGTTTTCATGAAACAATTCTTTTGATAGTACACATTCATTTTTTACAGCATTCAATTATACCAGTAGAGAGTTCTCTAAAATTTTTAAATATGTACCAAATTTGGAATGAAAGTGTTAAAGAACAATATGATTATTGTTACAAAAATAATCTAAAACATGTTTAGAGTTATTTGTGATCGGAGTGATACTACTCTAAAATATAAAAACTATAGGTACAGGTATCAAATCAAAAACTTAATGTTTTACAAAGTATAATTGCTATTGAAAGCTATTGGCGAGTCTTAAAATATGATTTTTTTCAAGTTTTAATCATGCTTGCTTTGATTTAATTATTTATATTATTGTTGCAAAGGTTATACCATATCAAATCGATTGATTACAGCTATTTTATGATAATTAGTGTATGCCAAAGTAGTGAGAAAATTTTTAGCTTGAATAGAAAAAATTAGTTACTAAAATAGTTAATCCTAACTCTATTCATATTACTGATTCTTTATATTAGATCTGTTCATGTTATAGTTTTCTTTTAAGTCACTTTTATATATGCAAACATTTGGTACAAATTTATGGTCTCAATGAATTAGGATTTTTTAGAAAAGTATTGTAAAAGATAATTATCTGTTTTATCTAATTTAAAATGAGTATTATATTATGATTCTAATTATTTTAAGGTAACATGACAAGAATATTATTCTTTATTAGAAATTAGAGAAGAGAACGCCTTTGCTAACTTGCCTGAAGATATTCATACCATAATTAAAAATTTGAATTCTTTTATTTGTAAAATAATTACCTCTAGTCTACAAGATGATATTTACGAACAAAATGATAATCAAGTTCACAAACAAGATAATAATCAAGTTTACAAACAAGAATCTGTTATGAGTAGTTCAAATAAATGCTTAATAGACATTGTTGATAATAATTAAAATTTAATCTTATTTCAAGCCTGAAAAAAAGAAATTTTTAATTTATTGGACAAAACCAGTGTTGGAAATCTAAACTGATTTTAATGTTCTCAGACAATTTTTTTTTATATGTTTATTAATAAAAAATTGGAA